GCTGGTGACGGCCAACGTCGGGTCCCTCTTCGACGACGTAAGTACCGGGGGGTTCCGCTCCCCGCGGCCCGGCGGCGGCCCGGCACGGGCGTGCGGGCGGAGCGAGGCTCGCGGCGGGCGGGGGAGGTGCGGGATTCGGTGCAGCTCCGGGGCCGGGAAGCGGCCGCCCCTCGCCGGGCGCCGTTTGCGGCGCGATGCTCGGGCGGCTCTGGGCGCGATCCCTGGAGCCGCGAAGGAGATATTTGCGACGCGCCGAGGGTGCGGGCGGCCGGCGCTGTAGGGCTACGCGGTGAGGGCGGTGTTTGGGGCTGTCGGGGGCGGCGTCCGGGCTGCCCGACCTGCCGATGCCGCGGGGTGCGGTGGGGCGCAGTGGGGCCCTGCAGCGCCCGCCGTGTCCCGCTGTACGGCCGCGAGGGCGACCCGGAGCGCGCTGAGCTTTGTGAAACTGCGCCCGCAGTTTGTCTCTCCGGCGCGCGTCGGGTTCCCGGCGAACGAGCACCCAAAACATTTGCCTCGTGCTTGCGATGGCCCCGAGGCCGCATCCTGGCAGCGGGGTGCTGTTGCCTGGCCAAGTACTGACGTGGGCCCGACCCGCAACGCTGTCGTTAAATCTCACAGTGTGCGCGGCAGGTTCCGGGGTGTCCTTTATTAGAGTCTGGGGCTCCGCAGGCGGCGCGGCATGCTGCTGCTCGCAGCCACGGCGGCTGTGCTGCTGTCTCGCCGTGGGGCGGGTATGGCCGCAGGGGGCTGCTTTTGGCCTGGGGGTCACGGTGTGTTGCTGGCAGCTCCTGGCAGGTTCTGCGGCTGGGAGCCGGGACGCAATGGGCCAGCCTGGAACACAGCTCTGGGCCGAGCTCCCCCGCCTGTTCTGCCGTGGTCCTCCTTGTGAGGTGGGGATGTGGGGCACCTCTTTGTGAGGTGGGAACGTGCAGCCACTCTGCAGCCTAGAGGGACTTCAGCTGCGGGCAGGGACTGCTGCCCTGTTGGCTCCACCTCTGTGGGTCTGCAGAGCTGCCTTGGGATTCTCTGGTTCATTTCCCTGTTCCAGCTCCCCTCAGTTGGTACTGAAGTTACACAGTGCATCAGAATCTGCCCTGCGCTGTGCCTCTGTGCTTGGTGCCGCCTGGTCTGTGGGTCCAGGAGCCCCTGGGTAGTCCTGTCCCCATTTTCCCCCTTCCTTTTCTCCTGACAGCCTCTTCCCGTTGCGGGGCCCTTTGGTTGGTGTGAAGTGGGCTGCGTGCTGCTTCATGCTTGGGATATGTTTTGTGCAGATGCCCCTCAGTTGGGACTGGCATTTAATAGCAGAACAATGTTCTCCTGGCAGACTGGCTGCCTGGGGTGAGTGCTGTCTTGCACACCTGGCCTGGCCACACACTTGCAGGGTCCAGGGATTTCTGGCTCATGCTGTGTGCATCCTGGATCATTGCAGCCCTAGGATAGCTGCAAGCAGTGGGAGACACCACTACTCCCCCATTGAAAGCATTAACACAGCATTTATTGGTTCTGTGGTGTTCTTCAGAGCTGTGTGTCACTACTATGAGCATGTATGGGACTTGGTGCGTCTGTCAGCTGTGCTTGAGCAGTCGCTGCTTGTCCTTTTGCAGGATGCTTCCTGCTTGTTAGCACAAATGTTGCTGCTGGGAGCAGGTGATGAGTTCAGGTTACCTGTGGGTTGCTGCTGCTTCTTTTCTCTCTCCTCTTTCTTCTCCCCTCTCTTTCTATGTTTTTCCGTCTCGTTTTCCTTTTTTCCTCCATCTGTGCTGCCCAGATGTCTCACTCACCCTTCCATGAATCTGGTGGCCACAGAACAAACCTGTCTGGCACATCACTGTATGGGATGTTACTTTGTGTGCTGTTACTGGGTCCTTTATTCTCTGTTTGTGCCCTCCCTGGTTGGGGCAGGAGCCCTGGGCTGAGTTCAAGTTGATCCATACCCTGCCCACTGCGCCGTGCAGATGCACCCAGTCATCTATGGGGCTGCATGTGCTGGAGGAGCTCTCTTTACTGCTTGTCTAATGATTCTATTTAGTTATTGGCACACTTGTGACTGTACGTTCTGATCTAATAAAGGTTTGGCTTTTTCTGTTGGGTGGAGGCAGATGGTCATCTTCAGAGTTCCATTTGTGTTGTCTCAGAAGCACGGTTTGCTCCACTGAGCAGGGAGAGGCTACCAGATAGGCAGGAGCACCTGGCAGCAGGGGCTGATGGAATAGATGCGCTTTGGTAGTGTGGTAGTACAGGTTTACGTGACTTCATTAATCCAAGTTATTTTAAACCTTTGAGCGTAGGCTTCTATGGTAAAGGTTTCAAATAATCCAGCAGGCTTAGCCATACAAGCTCCACAATTTCTGCTCGGGCTGGAAAGCGCTGCGTTCAGGCTGAAGTCTATGAGCCCGTGTCAGGCAGGCTTCCTAACGTGTGGCCTTGCTTCTTCATACCTCTCATGCATGTAACTGTCCTCCAGGAGGAGCGATGCAGTTATGGAGTCCCCAGGACCATCTCAGGTCAGAAGTGCCACGATGACAAGGAGAGGCAAAAGCTCCAGGACAGCAGGTTGTGTGGTTTTGTTCATTAAAATAAAAAAAAGAGGGGGAAGCAGCTTGGGGAATTGCTATTTGCTGGCAGCTGGCTGACTGAAGCCTTTATCCAACACCCTGGATTAACCCAGGTTGCCTTGCCTGGAGCGAGACCAAGTGGTCGTGGTGAGTCCCTCTGTTCCAGCGCAGGGCACTCAGTGTCCCCATGCAGCTGGCAGCGCTGTGATCCCTGCTGCTCCACGGCTGCACACAGCGCTGCCCTTCCTGCAGAGCGCCCGGCCAGGCGGGTGGCTCCTGCACCCCGATGAGTTCAGGCTGTGCTGTGGGGAGGCTTCCTGCCCCAGCCCTGTGGGGTATGGTTGTTGTTAGGAGTACACCTACTGCTCTGATCCTGAGTATGAACCCAGAATATCCTTCGCTGCTGTTAGGACTAGAAATCTGCTGGTTGAATTTGACGTAGAAATACTTCCTCTAATCATTTCTGAAAGCAGCCTGCTCTTCTAATGGGCAGTGATCCCAACGCGAAGGTCTGTCCTTATCGCATCTGAACTTAGCTTGCTGATTGTGAAACGGGGGTGCGGTTCTGTTATGGTGTTAGGTATCTGTGGATGTAACTGGTATTAAGTCATAAAGACGGTGGCTTTGTTTTCTTGTAATTTATGTTATCTTTTGTTTTGATTGTCCCTCCAGGAAGAATTTTCTGAATTTTGCAGAATATATCAAACTTGTTAGGATGGAAAATGTATTATTTAGGTTTGGATTTCCAAGCAGGTATCAGTACTAGCATGTTGCAAGTTAAGGCACCTTCTCTTCAAGTCACAGTTTCCAGATTAAGTTGAAGACCACACGTGCTTCACTGTGATTGTTGGTTTTATTACTATCAGTTTTGTGTGCACACCACTGTTGTCATCTTCAGTTTGTTTGCCTTTTTATGGCAGAAAGGCAGATAGATGTTTTTTTTTTTTTAGTTTCTGCTGCTCTTATGCTTACAGTGCTTTGTTTTACTGAATTCTCAATGCCTTTGCAGAGGGTGAAACTTTTGAAGTAGATCAGAACTTGGTGCTACTAAAAGTTTCCTGAGCTAGGTGGAGATGCGGTGGTGGGGAGGAGAAAGCAGTTTTGTTACCCTTTACAGTGCCTGTGCATTTTTAATTGTTTTTAATAACAGAGGGATCCACCGTACCTTGAGAATGAAGCTGTGGGAGGCTCGCTGCCTGTGGATGCAGCTGTTGCCCAGGTGTGTGCTGGGGTGAAGCTGGAGGTGGCCCTGGGTGCCCGTGCCACGTGCTGAGCAGCCCTCTCCGTGTGCATGGCTCCCGGCTCGCTGCCACAGCTGCCTTGCTGTGGGAATGCCTCGCTGCCCCTTGCTCTGCTGGGCTCCCCAGCTGCAGGTGGGCCTATAGGTATTGCCCAGCGGCTGAGGGCATGGTGGAACTGCAGGGTAACGTCCGTGCTGAGCCTTGCCACAAAAAAAGGTTTTTCCAGATGTGCAGCAGTATCGTGGAACTGCTTATGACCCCACTTAGGGAAAGCAGAAATATAGCCTGGGAGATGTGGCACTGGCTTGTAGCTTGCTGTTCATACAGTCTGTAGGCAGTAGCGACAAATGCAGGTGTGTGCTCTGCTGCCGGCGTTGCAGCGTGCAGTGCTTGGTGGCCCCGGCTCAGCCTTGTCCCTGCAGCCCGGTGCTGTGCAGGAGGTGCTGCTCCGTGAGGGCTGCCCCGGCCAGGGAACACAGCAGACAGCAGCACCTGAGGGTGAGGTGCAGAACAGAACAGGTTCTACTTCAGGCGTGAGTAGCTGCCAGAGCCCATGCAGCTGTGCAGCGGAGTGATGTGTCAGTGTGCATCCATGTACATCTTGGAATCTAAAGCTTTTTTCTGACTTGCTGAAGAAGGTTGGAGCAATGCAGGTGCAGCAGAGATTTTTTTTTTTTCTCCAAAATAGAGTTGTATGTTTAAAAGTAACTTTTTTCTTGTCTGCTAAAAAGGAAAAATGTTATTGCTTGTACTTTTTAGAGTCCTCTGAGCAGGACTCAGGACTGATTAGGAGGCTGTGAAGCAATTGCCTCCCTTAAGCAGGAAATTCAAAGATTATCTTGCAGACCATCTTTCTTTGATCATGATTAAGTGATGATTAGCAGCAAGAACACTTGTTTACACGAGGAATTAATATAATGTGCATTATATGACTGTAGCTTTCTGTCACTGTGGTTTTGCAGCAGGTGCCATGGAGCGGGCAGCCTGCTGCTCACTGGGTTTCCACACACTGCTGGCATCTCAGGATGGTGGGTTGAGGTTCCAGAGCACTTAATTGCAAAATTACATGTGTAGTGGGACATGCAGTGGGATGTGGGGTACCACAGCAGGAGTGCTTTATGCGTGCTCTGTTCGTGTATCGGTTTGTACTTGCATGCTCATGAAAGTGATGTTTCAAAGCTTTTGTTGCTTTTTTTCAAAGTCCTCATAAATTTTGCTACCACAGAATTTGACTTCAAAGG